TCTTTTCATCGAATTCGATTTCAAGAATTATTTCTTTGAAAAGCTGTGTATACATAAATGATGGTTCGATTTGATTCAATGACGATAGAGCGCTAATCCCGACTGAATCTTCATCACATTGTCGAGCGGATTCACGAACTGCGTCACAGATTGAAGTAATTTCGGTGAAAACACCTTTCACTTTGGACCAGCTTTTTGCCCATTCTTCATACTTTTTCTTTTGCCGACAAAAGATATAAATTGAATACATTTGAGTCATTTGATGAATACGTGGCACAACTGTTTGACATAAAGTACCGGAAATAATAAGGAATGCTTTTTCATATTGAAATTTTGATATATAATTGATACATTCTTCCGTATCTTGGAAGGTTTCAATAGTATTGACGGTACATCGCAGATGCTTGATTGAATTATGATAATCTTCGATGGATTCATCGATATTTGCATCAAGCCAAATCAATAGAAAGTTTTGAATAATTTCATTTATTTCAGTGCGATGATTCCGTTTTGAAATGTGATTTGAATCCGATTGCTGGTTGAATAAAGTAGAGGATGACGATGTTACTAGTTTCGTAGGATGTTGATGATTGCTGAAAGAGTTCGCTATTGTTGACTCTGCTGATGTACCACAACCCATATTGATTGATTGATGGTACGTAACGTGAACCAATTATGTGTGATGCGTTGTCAACCTGAAATCACGAATGAATGAATGTTATTCAACGACAAAGCTTCCTTATTTCAACGAAAATTTTCGTTGACGACAATTTCTCTCTCTTTCAATTATCATTGTATGTTTTTTGTTGATACTCAAGCAGGTAGCCTAGCTTCAAAAGAAAAGCGGTGGATGTGGATGTGGTAGTAAGGATGAGCGTTAATTCCATCCATATCCGCATCCAAATCACGCAATTCACTACAATGACACAGTGAAAGAATGAAAACTCATTTACTAGCAATAAACTTTTGGAAAAATTCCATGATTTTTCAAACACTATGACAGTAAAACATTGTAACGACAATGTTTTTATGAAGAAATATAGTTTTGAATGAGGTGCTTCGATCTAAAAAACGGAACCGGTACCATTGAATTTCGAGCAAAGATCTGCTAAATAAACACTTTTTGTATCATGTATATGGTACATGGATGTGGGTGTTGCTTTCTTTTCATCCACACCCACACTGTAGGTAATAAATGAATAGTCATGGTTGAATGGCAATAAATTAGAGCAATGAATAAATGAATACTTGCTGGGGGCAGAAGGTATGAAGCAACTCGTTCGTCTTCTTAGACTGAGTTTGTTTCTTCCTTTTGTTGATACTCTTTTTGGTCGGTTGCTATGGGAGTGTGTGCCATTTATCACTGCAGGATTTCTTACCTTTCGTTTCAAGAATGCAGAAGATATGAGTCTGTATCAAAGATCAACAACGAAACGAATGCATCGTCAATGAAAGAAAGAGAAGAATCGATAAATCATCATAGAAGGAATGTTATTCTCATTACTATCAAGTTTTTTTGTAACGTAGTAGTGAGTATGGGCTGCTAGAAGGTAATTTATGTGTTTGACATTGATAAGATTAAAAAACAAAGACATTCATTCTGGAGACATGGCTTTTTCCAATGAAGGAACAACAATTCGTTTCAAGAGCGTTATCGCCTTTTGTTATTAACTGGCTGGCTATTTTGCTGATGGATATCACGCTATTAAAACTAATCTAGAGGAAGATATCAAATAAGAGAATGTTAATAACGTGTGTTGGGTGAGATGGATGACAGATAGTTTTACGAAGAAGTAACTTGTAGTGATTATATGAAATGTTTTGACGATTTGATAAATAAGTTAACACATTTCAACACACATTCACGTGTTTAGAAGAAGGAAATAACACTCACTAAGAAAATGGCCGGCTCTATCCAAAATGCTCCAAAATAGCGTCCGTATAGAAATAATCCTTTTCTCGGGTCTCTAAATAATCAAACTTCGAAGCAAGCAGTTGCTAATTTTCCTGCACAGACCTACTGTCTATTGGATCACTAAGACGGATTATTTAAAAAATCCGAATAATAAAAAAGGGGAATGTATCCATTTGGATACATCTGGCCACTAAGGAACAAAAATTTTGAAAAAGCCATTTATTTTTGTCCAGCAAAATTTGATATTTTATTGTTTTTTTTACATCTATATTTGTAGATGAAATCACACGTTGCCTGTTTATCGATGTTTTGCAGTCCAAAGCTTAAATATTTCTAGAATGTTCTAAGATTCTGCAGTATAGTGCAATAGTAGCTCAATTTTTTTCGAAAATTTCTATAAAATCAGAAATATTGTAGAGAGTTGCTGAATATTTCGTGATAGCCTAGTTTGGAACACTAGAAAATGTTCAGAAACTCTTTAGAATGTTTCTGAATTTCTAAAACTTTCCGGAAAAAATTGAGCTACTATTGCACTATACTTCAGAATCTTAGAACATTCTAGAAATATTTAAGCTTTGGACTGCAAAACATCGATAAACAGGCAACGTGTGATTTCATCTACAAATATAGATGTAAGAAAAACCATAAAATATCAAATTTTGCTGGACAAAAAGAAATGACTTTTTCAAAATTTTTGTTCCTTAGTGGCCGGATACATCCAAATGGATACATGAAGCCATTAGATGCCAAAGCACTTATTAGTTCTGAGAAATAAACTTTTCCTATCTCCATGGTCTAGGAGCAACGAAAATCCATAAAAAGACGTTTTTGTCACTTGTCTTCTAGTAGCCGGCTGGAAAGGGGTAAATCAATTCTAGAAAAATTAAAGACAAGTAAATATATTAGTTTTATGTTTTTGAAAGTATAAAATTACAATAATTTTTCAGTTAATTTTCAAGATTAAATATTTTTCAAACATATTCAATGCAGATTGCACAATTTGATTTCGTTTTTTCTTACTTAAGTTTTTCAAAATAGATTATTATGACGTAGAGATGAACGAGGGAGTCTATAACAATTGTTGGACATCGTTCGAACCCATATTTGGGGTTATGAGTAGGACTTAAGGAGACTAAGAAGACTCTGAAAGCTTTCGGGTTCATAACTTTCTAAATGGAAATCCTGGTTGTCACATTGATGTAAGAATATAGAATCTTTTTAGTTTCTCCTTGATTTCCAATCAATTAATTCTGTTTTTGATAAAACCTGTAATTCAGGAGACAATCATCTAGACAATCCATTTCTCTTGCCCAATAAAACATTAATTCAAAAATTTGAATAAGCTTTAATTTTGAACCAGAAAAAAATGTTCCATTTCGAATTGAGTTTGTACCTTCGCATTTACTACAACGAAATGTATAACCTATAAAAAAAATAATTATCTACTTCATTCACATTTGTCTCAAAAGCATACCTTCTTTTCCTTTAGTGTGCAAGTATTCTAAATACCATTTATTACAATTGTTAGAACAAGAATCACTTGGCGTTATTGGCAAAAGCTTTAAATGTTGAAGAAATTGTATTGTTTCATAATCAGTGATTGTTAATACATGAAGTATCCTAAGATTCATTGCATCGATGTCTTCCACGTCAATAAATAATTTTCTATTATCATTCATGTTAATTTAAATTTGTATCGAAGTTTTAGTTGAAGAATATTTGTGATAAGTACATACAACGATCTTACCTTATATAAACCTTTCTGAGGTTCATAACAAATTATCATATTATTAGTAGATTTTTTTTTATTTAAATCATTAGAAAAATGTTTTCTATATGAATAGATATTGTTCTCATTTTTTCTTTTCATTCTTGTACATCAAACAGTTGTTTCGGCTGTACTACCTTTGATTTAATTAATAACCTCATGTACAGATGTCTTTTCTGAATGGAAGGACATCTGTTTTAAATAGAGAACGCCCTTTTTGAACATTCTTATTCGTTCAATAATATTATCTTCTCTTTCAATTAAACTTTTTCTGTTCTCTTCTCTTTATGTTATTTATATAGATAGTGTTCTCATTCTGCATTTGTATAGAGTTTGGATAACTTATACTGTAGCGCTCTCTATTTATTGGTTGTTTCAAATAAAAATTATTATATATGTTGTAGAACATATTGTTTTATTGCATAGTTAATAAGTAATTCGCGTCGATAGAGTAACTTTTTTTTGTTTTCTCAATCTTCAAATTGAAAACTAAAGAACAATGATTATACCAATTCGGTGTTTTAGTTGTGGCAAAGTCATTGGTAATAAATGGGAAGCATATATTGAATTATTACGATGTGAATATACAGAAGGTGATGCACTTGTTGTTCTTTTTCGTTATTTTTGTTCTTTTGTATTGAATAAAAAGAAAAGATTATTGTGAATAAATAAGACTATCTTTACAAAAAAAAAAGAACATCAGAAGATTTGTATTCATGTTAAGAAAACAAAATGAAGAAAACGATTAATTTATAATTTATTCATTGATATTATTGGTTAAAATTTAAATGAATTTTGTTCTTGTATAAAAACTATGGACAAGAGTTATATTTCATTTTTATTTATAGATATTTCATATATATATGATACTTAGAGTATATTGAGAATATTTAATATAAACGTCAGTTTTCATAATTATCATATAATGGTAGATTGTTTAATTATATTCAGTTACTTTATAATTAAATAGAGTACCCAAGAACCTTTTTTCTTATAAACAAAATTATTATTTTGACTCGTAGTGATAACCATATTCAAATTTTTTGTTGATGATGACAAAAGAAAACATTATTGATATGACACATTAACAAAAAAATAATAAAAGAAAAATAGAAACTCTTTTTTTTAATTCTCTTAGTCAACATATATAAATTTTTTTTCTTTCCTTTGTTTGGATTTCACGTGTCATAGTTTTTTTTGTCATTCTGTGGGTTTTTTTTCCAATTCCTCACATATATGGTTTCTATTTATTTGTCAATAACTAAAAGCTAATGAATCTTTTTTTTTCAGTTTAACTCGACGTGTGATTGCTGAAAAATGAGTAATTTATCGGACAATATCATTTCGATTTTTGTTAATAAACAAGTTCTTACTTTAAAAGATTCTGATATAAATCTTGCACTTATTGCTCAAGGTATTCAATGTTATATAGAAGAAGTTCGTCATCATGTTCAAATACTTAGTCCAACATTATTTCAATTATCATTTAATAAAGATAATACAATGACAATACATGTCGATCCACAAGTAATCAATATCATTTTATTAATTAATTTTTAATTTTTTGTTTTGTTTTTTATAGATTGATATATGTGAAGCATTTCTTGCTGGTCATTGTCATAATATAGTAAAACAATGTGATAAACTTCATATATGTCGTGAATTTGATCATTGTAAAATCCCAAATTGTCGTTATCCACATAATTTTACTCGTGGTCAAAATCGAAAAATTGTTCAACAAATTAATTGTGAAAATATTAATTGTATATTACTTGTTAAATTAATAAGAATGAAAAAAATATTTAATCATTCAGAAACTTCATCAAATACTCGAAATATAAATATTTCAAATAAAAATTTAATAAAAAAAGATGATATTAATAAACAAATTGATATAAGTTATCCATCAAAAAATCTTACACAACAAATTGATATGGAAATAATTGAAATGACATTAGAAGTTAAAAATATAATAATTGAAAAAAAATTTCAAGAAAGTGAAAATGAATATTTTCGTCGAGGAAAGATTCAATTAGAACAAATTAATGGTATTGAATTTTTTTTGTTTCTGATCACATTAAAATATTTTGTTTTTAGATGTTGAAAAATTACTTGCTTCACCAATTCTTCCTATTGAAAATATTGATATTAAATTTAAACGTACGAAACAAATTATTGATCGAACAAGTTTTTTATTAAAAATTTTAATTAATAATCAACAAGATAAAATAGCTGAAAGTCGAATTAAATTATATATTGCTTTACTTGTTGGGAATCATATTTCATATACAGTTATTGATCTATCAACAATGAATGAACAAATTTGTCTTATTCAATGTAATCATAATCTAGGTAAAAATATCTTTTTTTTTAAAGATTTTAATTTATATATATTTTATTTCAATAGATTTTGATAAAATTCGTCAACAACATGAATCAAAACCACAATTACAAGGCAAAAATATATCATTAATACAAATATATGAATGTGATACTGTTAGTATTTGTTATATTGATGAACATAAAATTATGAAATATGATGATATTCGAAATATTATACAATCTGTTAGAAAAAATGTTTTCACTTTTCAATTAGTAAATCAATATTATGTAGAAGTTGAATTTATAAATGTTGATGGTAAGATAAAATCAACAGGTTTATTAGAGTATTTGTAGTGAATTGAGACTAAATGTGAAATATTTCCAAAAGAAAATGTAATCTTTTAGTTACGAGGTTTTCGCAAAGATGACAAAAAAGAATCCAGATTTGTTTATAGAAGTCTGCAACATCAAAAGAAAACAGCAGATTGTGTTAAGCTTCAATCAACACCATAACATTCAATATTCGTAGAGTTATTCAAAGCCTTGTGGAATCCTGAATAATCCTGTAATTCCAGATCGTTATATAGGACTAATAAAATTGAACGTATGGTCTTCTGTATGATTAGAGTTTCAGCAGTAGTCACGACATTTTAGAGCAACAATAGTTCCAGGATTCTACACAATTTTATAGGGTTTTGAACGATTTTCATGGGTTTGGTGGATATGGGTATAGGTCTCTTTTTCACTCACACATCCACTCAGTCCAAACTCACACCAACATCCTCCGTCAATCCAATTTTCATATAGTTCTAAATCCACAATTACTTGTTGTCTACTTGATCTAATATGTACAAAGATATGATATAATGATACTATGATACTAAAAGCATAAGGGAAAGAGAGATCACCCCTATGACCTAAGAAAGATAGGCGATTGTAAAAAATTATAATCTACATAGAAGTTTAGTCCATAACCAAAAGGTCAAATAAAGTATCACTATAGATACCAATAAAAAGCTTCTATCCTCTTGAATTTTGAAAAAAAAAGTAATGAATAAATTTAACTGTCTATTCATATAATTTTACTGAATAAATATGAATATGTTCACACTTTCTAATTTTGTCATGAATAAAGTGATTTTGATAGCTAATGAAGTTCTCTATGAAATACATCATATAACAAGGTTTCATAGTTTTCAACAATTTCATTTGAAAAAGTACAAAACGAACGCTCACCGCGATTAATGCAACCTTCTATTGCAAACCTACAAGCATTACAAAAAACAAAAAAACGCACTTCAGTGATTTTGAAAAATGTTGCATTTTTTTTTGTTTTACTTCTGAATTTTGTAAACGATGGCTGCATAAAATATGGTAATCCGTCGTTTTGTTCTCTTTCCGATGGGACTGTTGAAAACGAACATATGAAATCTTAATATATCATGCATTTGATAGAGAACTTCATTGGCTATCCAAATTACTGTTTGGATTTTAGTTAGATATATTATACATTCCAAGAGAGTAAGAAAGTATGTATATTTCTTTGATTCTAGCTTTTAAAGAGTGGATGTCAATTGTTGAAAAATTCAAGGCAAAATTTCATATTACAGTCACGCCAGTGATTAACGAGGTCGATGATGAAAATGATGGAGAAGGTGTTCCAAGTTCAACAGAAAATATTCCATTTACTATTAATAAACCTCAACCAGTTACAATTAAACTTCGTCGTGAATGGTCAATGGTTGCTGCTCATCCTATATTTAAAGTGGAATTTAAAGATTATATACGTAATTATTGACAATTTTCATTTATTTTTTGTAATCTATTCATTTTAAGATAATGAACTTGGTGGTGAAATTGAAATAAATGGTGATGAAGTAACTTATATAGGTAATTTTCCACGTTTACAACGTTGTCCAAGCAATGAAGCAATTCTTGTTAATAAAATAAATAATTACATGCAAAAATTAAAATATCAAACACTTCATGATCTGAAACCACATCATCTTAATATTCTTCGAACTTATTCAACTACTGTTGCATTTAATCGTATTCATAGAAATGATTATATGATAGCAGCAAAACCACATGATTTATTTGAATTAAGAAATAAACTTTTCCCCAAAACAAATCAACATTTCCAAACTGATCGTGTATATGTATCAAAAAATCATCCATTTGATGATAGGTAAGTTATGTAAGAAAACAATCAGCACTTTAGTGTCTTGATAGTGATATTTAATTAGAATTTGATACCGATGTGAAATGTATGATACCTATTCAATTCAAGGAGGGAAAAAACGGATTCCGATTCTAATATGTCTCAATGAATTTTAGTGTAGTGGAGTAAGTTCTGATAGCTTTTGGCACATTTACGGATTGCACGAAGATACGCTAGGAATCGGGAAATCAATATTCGCTTTTTTTTCTTGGCTAAGAGCTGTCAGAACTTATCGCAATCTACTAAAAATTCAACATAGAAAACATGAATCCTATTGAATCTTAAAAACCGCAGAGTACATCAAAGTTCATCGAAATCTCAGTCGTTTAGATCTGTATTTTCCTTCTTGTTCGAAATCTATCAGATCGACTTTCTCTCATAATTTATTTAGTATCTGAGTCAGTCATATTTACTTTAATTTAAATAAGTAATCCGCTCTTCATGCAGTATCCCTAGCAAATAAAAAAGTCGAGTTTCATTCAAACAAACGATATTCATCTATCGATTCGAATTCATCTCAAAATAATTAATACCTACCTATTTAATATTTATAGTCATAGATCACCATCAACTCCTCTATTAAAACAAGAGACAATGGAAGAGTACGTTCTCAATGGATTTAATCTAGAGTATTAATTTATATTCATTTTAATATAGATCTACTAGTTTTCCTCTTGTACCACCAATCAGTCCTCCTTCTATTTATCCTGTTACAACAACAGAAGGTGTGAGTATGTTTTCAATAAATACCTTTGAAGATCGTTTACAACAACATTTAAAAGAAACATATAATGTAAAAGTAATTATTGAACGAAATATAATTAATGCTAAAACAAAAGGAGAAAAAATCCATATTATGATTCAATTAACTGGTCAAATGAATGATGTTAGAAGTGCACTTAGTGATTTAATAAATTTATTTTCATCATTACGTACACGAAAATTTGATGATAAAACTGGTAAGCAAAAAAAAAAAATTTTAATTCTTCGACAACAACTAGTTTTTTTTTTAAAGATGGAAATTGGACAAAGATTGACGAGGCAATAGATGTTATACAACATCATTTTACATTAAATAATTTTCTTTGTATATGTCAAAAAATTTCATCAACATGTGTTAATGTTAATTATTTTGATCTAACAAATCCTCAATTTGGTATTGATGAACAAAAAATTGAAGATTTAATTAATAATCAATTTAGTTTAGCTACAATAATTTTTAATCAACAATCACCATCATCAAAATTTACTAAAGAATGGACAAATTTAGAAGAATTAATTCGTAAACGAGATGATTTTAAAAAAGATATTTGTTTTTATAATGAAACTAATACTTTATATTTATTTGGTTTAACAAAATTAGTTAAAGAATTTCGTCAAAGATTTGAACAAATTAAAAATAAATATGTTCCACAACCATGTAAAATTACTCTTTCAGATAAACAGGTTTGAATTATAAGTTTATTTTGAAACATTTTTCGACAATAATTATTGTTCTTTTCAAGTCGTACAGATTGTTTTTTTATAACTATTTCATTTAATCCATCGTACTTAAAGATCCTATAAAACGAGAAAAAGCCAGAATGTTTTCAAAATAGTTCGAGAGTTTAAAATTGAATAAATAGTTTTCTTTTTTTGACATGGGAAATATACAGAGTTAGTGTGTATCATAATGTTATAAAAACAATAATTGAAGTTTTTGGAAATTATTGATCGTATAAAAAAAGTAAGAGTTACTAACAAAATATGTGAGTGCCATTTCAGATACAAATTATTTCATTGTATAATTTTAGAACACCGAAGTTGAAGCTCATAATTATTGTATTCTCGATTTAGAACCAACATTTGTTAGATGTTTAAAAAATTCTTTCAATTCTTGTCATGAATGAATTCTTTGAGACGAATTTTTTGTAGTTTTTTTTAAACTTCGCCCTATCGAAATAACTGATTCTGAAAGCTTCATTTTTTTAACGAATATTTCTAATTACGATATTTGATTATTGAATTTCTTTTTTTTTATATTTTAGCTTAATTTTCTAAGATATGTAGGCAAAAATGATCTAAATAAACTTGAAAAACAATATAAAGTCGATGGATGTGATTTAACATTATCTCGTCTTCAACAACATGGTCATTTTCTTGCACCACCTGATTTACATACAAAAATCAAAGAAAGTCTTGAAGCATTAGCACAGATTACTGAAACTAAATTTGAAATTAAGAGTACTGCTTTTGAAATATTGATTAACAACGAACCTGAACGTCTCTTATCTCTTGTTAAATCAAAATGTTATCTTGAAAAAAAAGTTCAAACACATCATTGTAATATTTCAGTACCAACAGCACAAATAGTTGATCTTGAAGATAGACCACAACAATCTCAAAATGCTCAGAAAACAAATTCAACAAGTATTAATATCGGTAAATCGACAATTACGATTGAAATTGGAGATTTAACAGCACAAGCAGTAAGTTTTCTTTGTCATGAATGAACGATTGGATTTATATTGAATAAAAATAAAGTAGAATTTGTTTTGAAATTAATCCGATTTTTTTTTCGATTCGATATTTTGTAATACTTAGTATACATTATTGAGAAATTATATGATTAACGATCATTTTTTGTGAAAAATAAGAAGAGTTAAACAATAAATCATATATACTCTGAAACTAGACCTTTCTGCTCTATCGATTTATAAGAAAAGTTTTCGTTCTGAAAAAATCGTTATTCTTTTTCCGAAAAGATGCCTTCAGTAAAGTTAGTCGCCACTTTATTTTACCAATTCGATATCAACAAAACTTTCAGAGAATGTTCTTCTATATCTGAGACACAGACTCAATTAGCACAAATGCTTCTGAATTACGATACAGATTTTCTAAAAACCTTGGTTTTTAAAGGTTTTTCGCGATTTAGTTATCACAGAAGCACTTTGAAAAAAAGCAGAGACACGTTTGGAATCAGCATGAAGAACTGCATCAATTGATGTATCATTTATCAATTTTTAAAACAAAAAGTTTTTTCACAGGCGTTTAGAGTAAGGATTCTCCTCAGTGATTTTTCATCAATCTTATTTTTGAGTACAAGAAACTAATATTTCTTTGGAAAAAAAAAATCGTTTTTGACAGAAAATAAGTGCTTGATAGAATTTGTTCGCTGTGCCACTTTCATAGATTTTTCTATCTTTAAATGGTATGCTGCTAGTTTGGTTAAGTTGGAAGTCGGATCCAAGTCTACTTCATTAAACCCTTATAAAAAGCCTTATTTCTATAAATAGTTAGTACGCTCTGCAGTGCTTAGCAGTATGAATTTAGATCACGCTATAGTTATAGAGTTGTGTTCAGCAAATTGCATTTTGATAGATACATGAGCTAGTATGAGTATGTATTTGTACTTGATGGACAATGCCATCTTGCTGAGCACGACGTTTTTATAAAAATGCATACTGCTACGCACTACGACGTGTACCAATTATTACTTATAGGAATAAGGCTTTTTAGGGAAAGTAATGAGGAAAACTTTGATCTGCTTCAATTGAACTTTATGATAGTAGGCTTACTCTCGAAAATCTATTGTACATTCAAAAAGTTTTATTCTTAATTTTTTGTGATTAACAGAAATTTCTTGTTATATTATATCGATTTCTAATCATGATCATGCTTATTGTTTTTTTTTATAGGTCGATGTCATCGTTATCGGTTCTACATCAGAATTTCTTCGAAATGCAATTATTACTAAAGCTGGTCCTCAAGTACAAGCTGAATTTAATGTATTGAATAAAAATAGTCAAAAAGCAGGAGTAACATCCAATGGTACATTACCATGCAAAAAAATTCTATTCATTCCATCGAAAGTAGACTCATCAAATTCATCTTTTTTACAAACATCTCTTAGTGAATTCGTTTCTACAGCAATTACATATGTGTCCGATAATGGATATAAAACTCTTGGTTAGTTTTTAACAATAATATTTTATTTTATTTTATAATGTATTTATATATTTTTAGCATTTCCTAGTGTTGGTTGTGGAAAACTAGGTTTTGATCCATCTATTATTGCGAAATATATGATTGATGAAACACATGTACAATTAATAAATAATACATCTAATATAGATGTATCATTTATACTTTTATCAAGTCAACAAAATGTCTATGATGCATTTGTTAAACATCTTAATACTATTCAAACACATTCTAAAAATCTTTCAAAACAAAATCCAAAAAATAAAACAAATCATCATTCAAAGATACCATATGAAGAAAAAAGTAAAATATGATTTATTTTTTTCGTAAAATTAAAATTTTTTCTTTTTGTTTTTTCAAAGTTATTGAAATAACTTTGATTAGTTCAAATGTTAATTATTTAACTAAATGTAAAAATGATATCTTAGAATTATCTCATTTATATTTATTTAAAACTCGATTAACTGATAAACATGATATGATTGATTGGTCACAAAATACAATTAATCAGTATTATGATTATTGTTTAAAACAACATGTTATACCAACACTTGATTTTGATACACTTTCACTTGAATTGATCGGACCAAAAGATGCGGTAATTCATCAATAGACTAATTCTTTATTGTATTATTGTTTTTTTGTTTCTTTCTTTCAATTTCTTTAGGTTCATGAAGCAGAAAAATGTTTTTATGAATTAACAACTGAAACACTTAAACAAGCACGTATTCATGCTGTATCACGTGGTGTTATTTGGTCAGTTGAAACAACACCAAATTCAGATACTTGGGAACAATATTCATTTAAACTTAATGGAGTTATTGAAGATGCTTATTTGAAAAAACTTCCACATGTATGTCAACAAAAATAAGCTGATAAATAAACAATAGAAAATTTTATGAAACATGATCTAAAAGACATGTTGAAGTATATAGGGATAAAAATTTGAACCTTCCATTGACCGTGACAGACGTTGATATACGATTATAGATCGTATATCAATAGTGTCTTGTGATAAATCTATGAACTTCTTCCTTATATTGCATTTCTAAACGATTAAATAAAAGGATAGGTGAAGAAATCAATTTTTCTATGATTAGTAAGAGCAGTTACAACATCCTGTTTCACATTTTAATCTCACAGGAATTGTCCTAACAGGTTTTTATTTTCTATTCAAGATTGATTTTGTTAATGATAAACAAGAAAAATATCAAGTAGTTTTATCGAAAATGGAAGAACATCATGAAACTAATATACGACATATACGACGAAAAGTTGTTGATTCATTATTACCAGATGTAAGTCAATGAATGTATGCTTGACTTTTTTCAATATAGTTATGAATTTTAGACTTGGGAACCATCAGATCAAAATTATAAACGAGTTCCATTACAATCATCATCAAAAGAATATCAAGATGTATTACAAAAATTTAATACAACCATGAATAATCAATATACACAAATTATTAAAATAGAACGTATTCAAAATGAACGATGGTACAAACAGGTATGAACTTTTTGACAACAACAACAAAAAAAAAGAATCTATTTCAAATATTACTACGTTAATAATTACTTACTAAACAATATCAAAATATTTTAGTATGATTAATAAAAAAATATTTCTTCATTTTTCGATTGATTAAAATGGCCAGTAGAAAGTATTAAATGCTTGGTTAGAATCAGAATTTTTGTCAGACTCATAGATCAGAAGTTATAAGCAAATCTTTGAAAGACTTGAAAATAAAATTTAGACGATTTCTGAACGTTCAGGTTATAGGTAACATTTATTCTGAATATACCAATAGAAAGAGTAAATATTTCTCTAGAAAAGAATAATCCTGATCATCGGTTTTCTGTAAGGTGTCTATCAACAATGAAACTTGAATAACTACGAGACTCTCAACTCTTAGATGATTTTGTAGCGAGAAGTCTTGATCTTTATGCAGTGCAAAAAATAGCTAATAGAACATATGCAATAAGAAACACTATTGCTGAGAAGGATGTTTGATTGGTCGCATTGCGTGTCTCAAGGTCAGTTAGTGAAGCCGTCTCTATCCAAACATTATTTCCAGGCTTTTCAAAGATTTTCTCATAACTCTTGACGTACGAGTCTCACAAAAATTCTGAACATAGATTTGGAAAGAGCATAAAATCCTGATTCTAATCAAGTGTTTAATACTTTCTACTAATCCTCATAATTGGTTGAAAAAAATCTTTCTGTACACCGGTTCTATTCAGATAGGTCCATTTTTTTCTCATACCTACTAAGTAAATATCTTTAACACGAAGTAACACAATCAAAGACAATTCTTAGATCGTTCGTAAAATGTGTACTACAACTGTTTCTATCTATTTTATATAAACTTTGCACGCCCAATATGATTCATCTACTTTAAGTATTTTTCATTGAAACATTTCGAAGTATTCTAAATAATAATCATGATTTTTAACTTGTTGACTATTGATTGAAATACTTCTTAGTTTTTAGAATGAAATTAATTTAAAAATTTTATTTTTTTAGTATGCTGCTCATCGTGATGAATACAAAAAACGTTATGGTCAATTAGATGAACGATTACTTTTCCATGGTTGTCTTGATACTTCAGCTAATCAAATTGTTCAAGAATGTTTTAATCGTTCATTTGCTGGTGTCAATGGTATGAAATTTATTTTGAAAACTATCTAATAAGAAATCATATTTTATAGGTGTTGTATACGGTTGTGGTGTATATTTTCATTCGTATGCAAATTATAGTCATTCATATGCAAAACCGAGTAGCTTGGGAGAACGTACTATGTTCTTAGCACGTGTTCTCATCGGAAGAACCTGTCAAGGTAATCCATCAATGAAAGTGCCACCAGCAGGTTATGACACAACTACAGATGGACAAAATATTTTTGTTGTATATCATGATGCTGGTGCTTATGCTGATCATCTTATCACGTACAAATAAAAAGTGTATTAAAGACATGCTTTAAATAATGTGTGTAATAATTTGAGAATATTAATTATTTCATGACTTTTACGTTTAAACGATGTCTTACATAAGTCATTGATTTTATTAGTTTTTTTTTATATGTTTGCAAAGAATTCTGTTTAAATCAGAATAAAATAATTATCATTGAAATGGATAATTCTTGTTCGAAATCTTGCTTTGAAGATAAAACAATCAGTTGAATTGCAATGAAATTAATCAAACTTATGTGTTTTACTTGATTTTTGCTCTATGAGCATGGGATTATTGAGCAACTGAGTGATTGAGTTTTCGTCCTTAGATAGGAGTTATATTCACTAGAAACTCCTTTTAGTTTGAGCCGTAACAAACGCATCCTTTCCAAGATATTTCTACTTTAAAGAAATGACCGTTTTGAGCTGTGTATCCAAGGAAGGACATATTCATGACAAATTAATATCTCGATACAGATGCGTGTCTCCTGGCTCATACTTTGGAGGTATATCTACTGACTACACGGCCCATCTATGGACGAAATGTCAGCTTGAAAATACAATCTTTCACGTTCTCAGTGAGTCTCTGCTCATAGGACAAAAATCGAGTAAAATGTCGATAACTTGCGACACTCAAGACCAAAAACTGACCCAAAATAGACTTTTTTATTATTCATCATAAGCGATCGAATGACTATGATTGCAAGCAAAAAGCAATTTTGCAGTTGAGAACGTTTTCTCATCAGATATTTTAGAGGTGTTCATTTAGATTTAATTAAACAAAAGACCTTAACTTTTTTTTCTGCTACCTATCTATGAAATCACTGCCACTATATGAATTTTTTGTTTTGAAAAAGTTCACAGAAGAGTTCACTGAAATCCACTGATATATAGCACAAGAAAGATTCGGACGAGTTGAATTTGTAGTTTGTTTTCCATTCTCAGGTCAAGAAGTACAGACCAATTCCGGCAGAAAAATTCCGGATATCTATGGAATTTGGGAGCAGTATTCCGAACCTAAAAATTTCCGAGTGTTTCCAGAACCTGGAATCATCGAATCGAGTTACTTGACTATGAGTTATAAAAGTTTATCTGAATAAATATACTTTCAATTGATAATTACATTTCTCTACATTGATTTTCAATAGTATGAACATTTTTTGTAGTATTTAATTGAGTTTTTTTTTTACTTCAGACGACAGAATGAGATTTTTATTTCGATGCCAAAATATATTTATTAGATGCGAACCAAAAGAAAGTGCTACAGTGCTTCTACGAAGCGGATGACTTCAGAATGAAATCTTCCGCCTACCATTACTTTATTGCTGAACAACAGTAAACTTTATTGATATTACGAACGTTATTGTCATTATAAGTTGTTTCAGGCTCGAAACTATTGATTTAAACGGATCACTTATCTCTTAACTCATTAATGCCTTTTGGCGACATCTATGAATATCAAATTATAAATTAAGAAAGAAAGATGAAGTTCTTGTTTTCATTGGTGATTTCATCTTTCAGATATTATTTCTCAACATTTTTACTAATTTCATTCATTTTATTTATTTTCCTTAAAGGAAATTAGTTTGATCTTCTAGTTTAATTTTATTCATACAATGCCTAAATATTATTGTGATTATTGTGATACATTTTTAACACACGATTCACCATCCGTACGTAAAACTCATTGTCAAGGTAGAAAACACAAAGAAAATGTTCGTGATTATTATCAAAAATGGATGGAAGAACAAGCACAAAAATTAGTACGTTTTTTTTCGTATTTCTTTCTTTCTTGTTTTAATATATATATATAATTTCTTCTTTCATTTTTATTAGATTGATCAAACAACAGCTGCATATAAATCTGGAAAATTAGTCAATACACCTTTTCCAATGGGAGTACCTCGTCTTATCAATCCAAATATTGCACCACCATGGGCATTTAGTTTACCTCCTGGAATGCCACCTTTAGGGCTGCCTCCTAATCCAGCTGCTATGACTGCATTAATGACTTTGCGACCTCCACCGGGAATATTACCACCAGGAGTACCACCACCTGCTGTTGTTCCAAAACCTTCTACGGAATAATATGATCAACAATTAGAGTGAATATTACTTTTTTTTTTGTTTTGTTTGTTTGTACATTTGATTATAAGTTAATGTGAGCTAGTAAAATTATCTTGCTCTTAAATATTTGTTTTTTTTTTGGTTTAAATAATATATCGTATTAAGATTACCGATCACAATCAGTTCAAAGTAGAATTTAATGGATAGTCATTTGAATTAGACATATCATAAGCTTTATTATTATTTCTAAAAAAAGTTTTGGGAATAATCCTTGCTAAGCAAAATGCTTCAAATAAGATATGATTACTTTATTCAGTGAATCTGATATTACATTTTTTTTAATAAGAGAATAAATAAAAATATTGCTATTTAGTATAAAGCTTTTATCAATATTGTATGAGAAAATTGTTTACTTCTTGTTTTTTTGAATTTTTAAAGGATAAACGAGAAAATTTTTCAAGGTTTTCTCATTATAGTTTCTCCTTTTTACTTTGAAACTCATTTTTGAGTTTATACTTTTCAAAAAGGATGAAATTCTTTACAAAATGAATTTTGATGAAACGAACGTTACGTGTCCATAATTCTAATAAATTTAAATTGTTGACTTCGAAACATAAAATTATAAATGTTCTTTATAGTCTGGTGGCGGTGGATTCTGATTAGTATCCATATAAATTGGTGGTAAATCATATGTTTGTATGATTAATGGTTGAAAAAATTCAAATTCATTTTTAATACCTACAGCATCTTGTTCATTAATATTATGATTTCTAAGAAGAACTGCTACTGCTGCCGTTGCTGTTGTTGCTTGTGATGGATGATTGATTATTTCATTATATATTGAATTAATTTGTCTTTGTCTTAGATAATATTTTAAAAGTCGAATGAGTGTATAGATAAGAAAACTAACACAAATAATATAACATCCAATAAAAAAATAAAAGAAAAAAATATAATTATTATTTTCAGTCGATATTGGTGATATTTTAGATTGAAGTAAAAAAGGCATACGAGAGAAGAAAAAAAAGAACAAATTTGAATGAATAGAAGAAAAAAAAATGTCAATGGCGCTTTAAATCATGTTCTAGATTTTAGAATTAATATCAATATTGAGAAGACGATAATATTGAAGTAAATTCAAACATTTTAATTTTCTCTTAGATATTTATAATATAAAAAAAAATGATAAAATCATGACTATAGATTTATTGAATGTCAATCGTCTCTTACTTTGATAACATATTTTAACAACGGGTTTTTTTTCAGACGCGGTAATGATTAAATATCATCGTGACACAAAACTACCGGTCAAAAAGTAGTCTTTTGTTTCTTCACCAAAAGACGATTTGTCATTGAATGGGTAAAATTTTAGGTAATCTTTTTTTCATTCATCGTCCTTCGACGTTTTACTTTTTGAATAAATAATTCTATTGACATAGTAATAAGCCATCTATCAAAAACGACATATTCAAAAAATAGTCTGAACAATGTTATGTCAATAACTACAGTTGCAAATTCAAATGATATTCCCAAGCAATAATCGAATGACAAGTCAGGTATGTAATGTAATAAGCTTTTCTTTTCTTTTTTTTATAATATATATATATCAATCAAAATGTTCTCTTCTTTTTTTGCTTATGTACAGAATCTATTTGGATTTAATGTCAGATATACAAAAATTAAGAACTATCATGTGATTTTATCTTTTTCCATATATATGAATATGGATAAGTTCATTTTATTTTATAAAAAAGTTAACCTGCTTTTAAAAAAATATGCGATGATTAAGACTAACGTCAACACAGATGTATGGCAATTTTTTTTTTTTTGTATTCATTCACCCCCCTCCTCTTCATCCATTTTTTCTTTCGTTTTGCTTTTTGCGTGTTCGGATTTTTTTTTTGCTTGTCGTTGTGCTTTCATTCAGTACTTTTTGCCTTTCGCTCTCCCTACCTTATTCATCTTACCTATTCATTCTCATATTATCATTAACGTCACCGTCAGTCGAACGCAAGAAAAACTTGTGTTGTTTTCGTCGATCATTTTTACGATTATTTGAAAAAAAAAATTTACAACAACAAGAGAATGTCTCGTACACATATAAGTCCACTGATTAAAGCTCAGGTGATTAAAATAAACAAGATAATTCTTTTTTCTAAATATGTTAAACTTGTTATATATATTCATAGGTAGAAAAATTGACCGCTAACGGTGTTGATATTACTTCCGGACATCGATTAATACGTACATCTTCACCAATAATCATTCCAAAAAAGCCGACTCTTTCGAACGTAAGCACGCATTATTTGTTTCATTAATAGTTGTCTCTATTTGAAAACGTGTATATATATATTATAAAAGAGAACGAGAAAAAGACGAACAATATAACGATGATATGACGATTAATAGATCTCGTTGTTATTTTCGTTTTTTTTTGTTAATGTTTTTTTTATTAGACATCATCCCAAAACTCTTCATATGGATCTATACCTGATCAAATGTCTTCATTGGGTGTAAGAGTATACTGATTTTTTTCTTTTACCTACGAAAAAGGAAAATTGTTTTTTTTTTTTGTAGGATACTCCATTACAATTACACCGAGAATCAGATAATGGTAAAATACTTGACATTTAATATAAATATATGAATATTGAGTATGATAATTTAGCATCAAATACTTCATTACCTACACTATCATCTACGTATCAACAATTAGAACATTCAGCAGCACGAGATCGTATCGCAGTAAAAAATAAACGACAACAACCATCGAAATATAAAGTACGTAAAATAATATTTTTGTTTTTTGTCAATGAAATATTCATTTTGTTTTTAATTATAGTTAAGTATTCTAAAAGAAAATAATGATGATCAAGTTGATTTATTTTCATCAAGAGTTGATGATGTACAAGAAAATTTTCCATTACATACTGAAGTATAAAATTCAAAGATAAAAATGTTGAAATAATAAAATTTTTCTTTTCTATTAGTCAAAAATTCAATCAAAATCAGTTATTGATCTTTCTAATTTGGGTAGAGCACGAGATCATTTACGTAAATCTGTTTTTCTTCGAGATCATTCAGCTGATAATATACCTTCACCAACAATATCGACTATTCCAACATATGTTTCATCTGTACAACGATCGATAAGTTTTAAACGTCCACAAGAAATTAATCAAACACCATTTATTAATCGATCAATGTTTACAATAAAAAAAGATAAAGAACGAGAAGAAGAAAATAAACATGAATCAATATTAAAAGATATCAATGCAAATAATTCATATTCAACACCATTAACCACATATTCATCATCTCAAGAACATATTTATGATAATTCAAATTTATTTCATCATCATAAAACAAATATTATACCTGATTCATTACCAAATGAAAATGAATCATTAACAAATAACATTGCTAAGACAAGAGAACAGTCTATACCAAGGAAAAATCGTGTACGACCATTTACTATGTATATACCAACGAATAATGATAAACAAACAATAAATGAATTTGAAAGTGTTTTTAATCAAATAAAAAAAAATGGTTTAATTAAAAAGCTTCAAAGTAAAGAAGAAACAGCACCAATATCACCTCCCAAAGAATCAGTACAACCACCTTCACCATCTATTCTTATCGATGAAACATCTACAAATTTATCAATTGAACATGAACCAATAGTTCCAGCTGTTGTTGTTCCAACGAATAAAATAGTCGAAACATCTTATGCATTTCAACCACTAAATCGACGAAAAACAGTTGGCGGTAGCAATTTACCAACGAATAATAAAGTCATTACGGATGATAATAACTCAAAACCATCATGGATTGATATTGCTAAACAAAAACAAAACAAAGTGTACGTTTTATATTCTACAGAATATTTTCAAAAGTTCTAGGATAAAGTATTTCTTTTTTTTTTTTTCTTATCATAATTAATCAATTTTTTAAACGAAAATGATAGACTTCTCTTCATTATAAAACTTACTAAAGGATTTTCTTTTAAATGCAGTTTCATCAGATTTGACTCGTGTAATACAAAATTCGGTACCGTTTTTTTTTCTGTATTTTCATAGAGTAGGTTTGCTCTGACTTTTGTATCGAGTCTAACAGAAAGAACTTCTCTATACTAGTAAAAATTTGAAATAGCATTTGTGTAGCTAAACGATTTTTCCATTGGAGACTCCATTGAAATTGCTTGAATGAGGATCTGCGAAATACCAGATTTCTGGCTTCGATTCGAAGGTTTTGGGAAAAGATTTTATTTGATAGAGGAAGATGACACGTCTTCCTCTATCAAATAAAACCTTTTCCTAAAAATTTTGGATGGAAGCCAGAAATTTGATTTTTCGTAGATTCTTATTCAAGTAGTTTCGCTGTAGTCTCTAATAGACAAATTCTTTTAGCTACACAAATGCTATTTCAGATTCTTGTTAACTATTACCATTGAGAAAAAAACTTAAAAATATAGCTGCTCTAAACTTTTGTCTGTCATTATACATCTATAGCTCATTAAAATCGATATTTTACGATCTACTAAATAAACAAATGTAATTTATTATTTTTCTAGTAGAGCTGTATTGAGTGATAAAAGTCATAATGAAGAATCTGAACAACAACAAACAACACCTATTGAACCAGAAATAGTACCTAAAAAACAAGTTATAATGTCATCTAATCCAACAGCAACAGTCAACGAAATTACTTCTGATGATACACCAACTTTTAATCCTGCCATTGTACGACGATTATCATCACGAATACCACAAACAAATACACATGTAGTCGAACGAGTACGTTTAAATTATCTTAATTGATTTACATTGTTATTTTATTTATTTATAGGATTCTATACGAGCATTAAAAGCTAGCAATCCAAATCGTATAAATAATTTAATTCATCTTTTTGACAAATAAATCATATTTTTTTATATCTCAATGTTGAAATATCAGTATATATGCTTGTGTGTTTTTTGATGTTCGAAGATATTCTCTTTTTCTTTTGTATAGAAAATAAATCTTAAATAACTATTGTTTTTAGATATTTGAATAGATATTATAGAATGGATCATGTAGGAAATTCTAGTCAAGGTATAGCTGATGCTCAATTAGCATCATTTATTAAACAAGAAAATCAAAAACAACATTTTCGATCAGTTGTACATACATTAACTGAAAAATGTTGGGATTTATGTTCACCAAATATATCATCAAGACTTGATGATAGAAGTGAAAGATGTTTAGCTGGTTGTGTTGAACGTTTTCTTGATTCAAGTCATTATATTATGAATAAAATTAGTAAAGAAGATGCTGCAGCTCGTACAAGAATCAATGCAAATGAATTTAGTTCATTAACAGATTTTTCATTAGGTGCACCTGATATCGGTCTTGATACACCAGAGTTTTTTACCGCTTATAATTCGTCATTTTCATCAAGTTAACAAGAAAAAAAAGAGTAATTGGAAATTTTGGTAGTCTAATCCTTTTTTTTTTTTGTATTCCCATTTTACTTTAATAATGTATAGTTTTGAATTAAATCTTCCTATTTAATTTTTTTTGTTTTAGATAAGTAAATATTTGAATAAATGGTTGAATCAATAATTGGTATTCGTGGAAAAGATTTTGTTTTATTAGGTCAAGATGCTAATACAACAAAATATGGTATACATAATATGAAATTTGATACAAATCGTTTATTTAAATTAAGTGAACATTGTGCTATTGCTTGCTGATAAGATTACTACAAAAAAAAAACGAAATTTCGATAGAGACAATCGATTTTCAAAAATAAAAGATTGTTATTTTCTTTTCTTCTCTATAAACTGGTGAACCTGGTGATGTAGTTTAATTTGCTGAATATGTTGGTAAAAATATTCAATTAAATAAAATGATCAATGATATTGAATTATCTCCATATTCATGTGAAAATTTTACACGAAATGAAATAGCAACATCACGTCGTTCATGTAATTCATTTTTTAGCTAATCTTATTGTTGGTGGTTATTCAACAAATAAACATGATCAACAACATGCACAATTTTATTCAATTGATTATTTAGGTGCTATCATATTAGCTAATGTTGTTGCTCATGGTTTTTGTCAATTTTTTGCATTAACTATTGGTGATCATTTATAGAAAGAAGATTTAACTGTTCAAGAAGCTTTATCGATGTTACAAATTATTGTTAATGAACTTAGTAAACGTATGGCTGCATATTCACATTGTATATTTGTACGAATTATTGATGAACAAGGTATACATGTACTTGATAATATGTATCCGAAAAATATTATTGTAAGCAAACCAAGTGAACTGGAGTTATAAACAAGTGCTGATATAATGGACATTCATATATAGTTTTATTCTCTTTTTATATTATATAAAAAAAAGAAATAATCATTAATTGTCAAACTTGTCCTTTCATTTTTTTTTAAAAGCCACTTGTTATGATTGTTTATTTATCTTATGTTGCATTTGTATGTTTTTCTTGTTGTTGTTAATGCTCTCTCAATTAAACATCTATTCTACCTCTCTAACATAAAATGAAACAGACAGTGGGTGTATCTATAAGTATGAATAGTTTTTCAACTGTGCGCCAATATTATAAAATCATCAAGGTTTTTTTCTTTGCAATTGTTCATACAAGTCAAGTCGATACAAATGTGATAATAAAACCAGATTTGGATGCAAGATATCGAAATTTCGATATATCGAGACTATCAAGTTTGAATAGAATTTTACAAGCATATATTTGAATAAGTCTTTTTACAAGATAATACTCGGATCTGTCGTGTTAAACTGATGACAATAATTCAAAAACTGATGTCAAAGAAAGAATTTGAAAAAAATGTTTTTAAATATTTTTTTATTAATTTTTAGATCATGTCATCAATTGATTCTCAATTATATGAATGGTGGCTACATGAAGAAGCAGCTTTAGAACGTGATAAACGTAATGTTGATGCATTTTGTCATCATAGACGTGTACAACTTATTTTACTTGATGCATGGAGACACGTCACACAGTTTGATTATTTCTAAGTTTTTTTTTGTTCTTCATTTTCATGAAATTTTCTTTAACTTAGACTTCCTATACAAGTCGTAAATCAATTAGCTGATCGATCTATCGAATCTTATTGGGCTACAAGACCATTTAATAAAAATGCCGTTAAACAAACGGATAAAAATCATGATAGTGAGTTTTTACAAAGAAAATTTTATTTGAATATACTTTTTTTCTTTTCAAGTCTCTTTTTCACATTGTCTTAATTGGTCTCAAATAAATGATACAAATATTCGTCAAAAAATGGTAAAATACCATTTTGTTTTTACTGTTCTTTTATTGATTATCTTTTTATAGATGAGTGACAAAATTCGACCATTATTTAAAGGTCATAGTGATGGACGAAATCCTTTATGTGGTCAAATTAATTTACTTGCGATGAAAACACCAAAAACTTCAGCATTTATTGATAATCAACCACAAACAATAAACAAAGTAAATAAGAATCAAAGAATAGCATTTCCATCTTGTTATACATTTATCTTTAATTAGAAGCGTCCAGCTCCATCATGTTTTTCTGATGATACGATGGATACGAGTACTAGTTATCATTATCGGCCACCATTTGGTAAACAACAACAACAACAACAACAACAACAACCACCACAAAATGTACAAGAATCATTATCATTTCGTACAGCACGTGATCAATTGGAAATTGATGAAGCACGTACGAAAACAGGTGGTACTGTTGTTAAAAAATCCCTTGGCATGCATTCATCAGCCAAGTAAGTTCAATTGATTATATAGTCGAAAGAACTTTGTTGATTTTCAATAGACGTTCAATATACAACCGTTATGTTGATCCGACTAGTGGACGGCAATCACAAGGTGATTCTAATCGACAAATGATGCCACTTCCACCAACACCATCGGCACCTGTATCATCAGCACCTGTTTTACAAACAAATCAATCAAATAATACTGAACCTCCAAATAATAAATTAGAAGAAAGTGGTGGTGCTAAACATATTGATCCTAAATTAATCGAAATGATTACTAGTGAGGTAATATGAATTTTATTTCGTAAGACATTTAAAAGCCAGTAGACAATATAACTTTCATTAGTGAATACTAGTATATTCTATGAGAGGGAGTGGACTAACAAACAATTTACTAGAATGTTGTATTGTAAATTCTATAACATACGCCCAAGGAAAAAAAGCGACAATTTGTAGTGCAGCGTACTTCGTGGGTATGTTAAAGTTATCCTTTAGAACTTCTTAGCTACGTCAATGGGTGTCACGTGCATATTAGTTTGAGCTCATTTGATAGAAGTCTGTGTTGTAATAAAGCCCAAATACTCCATCGTACTTAACTGATTTTCAAATCTTGAAGTACGATAAAGTATGTAGGCTTTATTGACACATAGACTTATATAAAATGAATTACCCTTAGATTGTATTTATATTTAGAGCTTAGATTTGGATTTAGATTTGGATTTGAAGCATGATTTTGCTTTTGGATCAAATCCGCATAAATATTTTGCAATTCAATGACCGTTATCGAAACGCAAACTATTTCTAGTATTTTTTTTTGTCCAAGACTAAATGCAGATTGAAACACTAAGAGTTTACTTCCAAAATTCTAAAATCTTTTTCTTATTGTACTACACAGTTTTCATTTTTTTCTCTCTTGAATATACTAGATCTCTATCAATTGTTTCAATTAGAGAATGAGAATGAGAATGGAAAGAATAACAATATGATTGAAGCACTGAAGATTATACATAGTAGTCATAAGTTGTTCAAAGATATAATAGAAAAACTAAACAAAGGAAAAGTGTCGAAAGAAGAATCTCAAATAATCTATAGTATAAATAAACAAGATTTATCAAGTAAAGAAAAAGGAATAGGACAATTCCAATATAAATTTAAACAATATGTTACTCAACATAAGATAATAAATGTGGGTGTGAGTCTACTTTCAATCTCACACCCTCAATCTTTACTCATTCATTCAATTCAAAATGATCAAAACAAATTACGATAGACAAATATTTCAATTTGTTCTTACAGTAAATGAGAACTTTCTCTCATATTGTATAGATCATGGAACTTAATTTAACAACAACATGGAATGATATTGCTGGTTTAAATGAAGCTAAAAGATCTATAACAGAAATTGTTGTTTGGCCAATGCAACGACCTGATATTTTTACTGGATTAAGAAGACCACCGAAAGGTTTACTTCTTTTTGGTCCACCAGGTATTTTCTTTTGTAGTTAAATTTTTTTCATTTTTTATATTTTTAATTGTTTTTATAGGTACAGGAAAAACTCTTATTGGTAAATGTGTTGCTAGTCAATCCAAAGCAACATTTTTTTGTGTTTCTTCATCATCACTTACTTCAAAATGGCATGGTGAAAGTGAAAAATTAGTTCGAGCATTATTTGCAGTAGCTCGTTCACGTCAACCAGCTGTTATATTTATTGATGAAGTTGATTCATTACTTCAAGAAAGATCAGAAAATGAAGATGAATCTACACGGCGTATTAAAACAGAATTTCTTGTACAAATTGTAAGTTCAAAATTTTCACTTTTTTGTGTTTTTTTCTTTAAATTTCATTTTTTTTTTAGGATGGAGCAAGTACACAAGGTGACGAACGAATTTTATTAATTGGTGCTACTAATCGGTAGAAAAAAAAAATTTCTTTTATTTTTTTTTATAATTTACTTATATGTATGTATATAGACCACAAGAACTTGATTCAGCAGCTCGTCGACGTTTTGTTAAACGTATTTATATTCCATTACCTGATTTACCAGCACGAAAATCTATTATCTCAAATTTACTTAAAGATCAAAAACATACTTTAACTGATAATGATATGGAACATATATGTACACTTACAGATGGTTTTAGTGGTGCTGATATGCATAGTCTTTGTCATGATGCAGCTTTAGGACCTATTCGAGATATACATGATATTGAATTACTCACGAGTGAAGAAGTAAACAATGATTTCTTTTTTTTATATGATAGTTTTCTTTTTGTGGAATTCACGTATATTTTCAAAGAAAATAATAGCAAATAGAGGTTTAAATCAAGATTTTTTGCAGTTTTTCTGAGTTCATCAATATACATAGTAGATTCCCAACATCTACTATATATACAACGAATATGTACAATAGACTTATTCATCCATTAAATCAATAGTTAGACTGATAATAATAAATTATGAAAATGAAATTTAAAAAACATTCTATTCGAACGACAGAGCATTTTCCTGACAATTGATTATTGTTGGAAACGAGCTATAGTCTTTTAGAGATTTTACACTTTTGCGTATTTTTGTATTAGTATAATGAAGCAAAATAAAACATATGAGTTTCACATTTCAATTCTAAAAGGACTGAGCTAATAAGATTTTTTTTCTATTAAATAGGTACGTGGTATTTCAGTTGATGATTTTATTAAATCACTTAAAGCTATTCGACCAAGTGTATCCGAAGGTGATTTAAAACAATATGAAGGTAAAATATTTAAATATTATATTAAAAATTAAAAATTTTTTTTTTTTTTGTAGATTGGAATAAAACATATGGCTCTATTTAATGTGACTTATAAATATTATCTTAAAAAAAATGTTAGCTTCTTTTTTTTTTTTTTGAATATGATGTCAGATATTAACTATAGGAAAAAGTTTTTATAAGCATAGTCAAATATATACTTGATATTAATAATTAGCTTTTTTCCCGCTTAACATCGATTTTTTTACGTTCATATTTTTATTTTTATGAGCAAAATATTGTAAAATCCATTGTGTTAAACACATGGTGGACATTTAACAAAAGGATTGTTAACAATTGCTGGATTTTTAGCACATAGACGACAATTTTCTTTTACATGATGACAACCGACACCACCTTGAGCACATGTTTGGTCATAGTACATACCAAGACCAGCATCTTTATCACCTGGGGAAGTTAATGATGTACATGGACCATTCAAAGGCATAGTACATTCACCACCAGTTGTAGTTGGTGCAGTTGGTGTAGTAACTTGTGATGGATTCGACGTTGTAGGAGGTAAAGTTCCTGTACCACCATTTGTATTTGGTCGTGTAGCAGCCCAATACTAGAACAAAGTTACACTAAAAAAACAAGTGAAAAGAAGATTATTGATATTATACAAGAGCCCAAGTACGTGTAAGACCATCATCAAGTGGTGCAGAAAGTAATTGATTAAATGCTTCACCACGATTAATAATAGCATAGTTCATATATAAAATACTTTTCCATCCTCCTGCTGCACTTCCAACGACTTTACTCATTATTGTTGACCATTCTTCTTCAACAAATTTCGGAAGACGTACTTCTTCGGTAATTGGTGTTGATGGAAGCATTCTATTTTATTTGAAAAAAAAAAGATCTCTAAAAATCAATGCTATATAAAGTTATTGTAGTTTTTCGAAAAGATATGCTATAAGTTTACTGTCTATTGATAATTGATCTCCTATAGACAAGTAATTACATCAATTATACTGTAAGCATTCAGGTGGATATTAGATGAAAAATTGAAAATGTATTTTCTAAAAAAACAAAAAACTCTCGCTTTTATCTGTTTGATATTCGAGAAAAGTCATTCTTCAAATCTGTTGATATACATGCGTTTTGTTTTTAAATTCCTATCCGAACTTTTCAGAAAAATTTCTTCTTTTCAATACTATTACTTACTGAATACCATGAATAAATTCTGGATTAGGTCCAAACCATGTTGCATAATCTGCTTTGTTTTCAAAAAATATACCTGTAACTTTATTAGCAATAAATTCTTTAGGCATAACTTTATTATCACTATCCATAAGAAAATATGTTTGAATTGTACGTTTAGCAATAGCTAACATTAATCGACCAAGACTTTCAAGTGTTTTTGATTGAGTAGATAAACCCCATAAAGCTAAACCATAATGAAAATTAATTTCTTCAGATGTTGATTCTTGATCTTTCCCATCAGCTGATTCAAATAAACCCTATATAAATACATAATTAAATTAAATAAGAAGAATACTCTCTCTCTCTCATTCATACCTGACTCCAACTATGTCCTGAATACCAATCAAAATAACGAAATTGTGGAAAATTCGTATCTTGTGTTGAAGGATTATTAGCATCACGTATTAAACTTTCAACCCAATTTTTCATTTTAGGTATATAATTTGGATCAAGATAGGCAATTAATGCACCTGTTTGAATAAAATATCCCCAATGATAATGATGATCATTATAATATGAATTGCCAAAATCAGCTAATTCTTGTGATGGTCTATAGCGAAAAAAAAAAATTTGTTTTTTTTCTAATTAAAATTAAACAGAATAGAAAATAACTACTAACGCTAAACCAGCAGCTGAAATAAGACCAGACCATGTTGTATCATATCGTAATGCATTTGCATTTTTTCCAGTAATAAGAACATCAAATGCACTTTCTAATGTATTTATACATTGTTGTCGTAATGATGTTTCTCTATAATAATCAGCTAATAAACATAATAAAGCATATTTATGAAATGCTTTTCCTGTAAAATAATAATCTGTTACACCTAAATTAACACCATCTGTAATATCTCTTCTTAATTGTGCTACAATAGAATCTTCATATTCAGGAGCAGGTGGACGTGGTGCAAGATAAGTCATTTTTGATAATGAATCTTCTGTCATTATCCAAACATTACCAATATATCCTATCATTGGACCTTTGCTTGCTGATTGAGTTTGAACTGGTGTTGCTGTCGCACTACTTGTTGATATAACTTGTCTATGATGTGCAAGTGTATAATGAAGAAGATTTTTTGTAATATCACCTTTACGTTCCCATATAAATGTATATGTACCTTTTGAATCAGTTACATCAGCTTTTAATTGACATCCTGTTGGATAAACAGATACATGACTATCAAGTAAAGAATTTGCATATGAATCTGATTGTTTCTTAGTTAAACGAAGGACATTTGTTATTGCTTGTGTACCAAATAATTGATTATCACGAAATTCTAATGTAATATCACCATTAAGTGTATATAAAAGCCAAGTTTGACCATTATTTAAAGCAATTTCAAAACGTTTTCCACTTATTCTTCCTGATGCTTGACCATTAACAGAAAGAATAGCATGAGTAGTTGAAATTTTTGGTGTTGCTGAATTATATTCAAATGTAACATATGCCATACCACGTACAATAGGCATTGTTATAGAAGATTGAGAATTTTGTTGACGCATTTTTAATGTTAAAGCAAAACCAGGATCATCAACATTAATAATTTCAAAATTTTGTGCTGTAAATTCTGTTGCACTAACTTGAATATTTTTTAATATAACATTTATAAAATATTTTACTCGTGTACTATCAATTTGTTGTCCTAATGCTAATTGTTCAGTACATGATATTGAAATACCATATGGTGATTCAAGATTCATGAAAAGTACAAATGGATGTGTAATTATTGGATTATTACCTGGACCAAGGAGTGGATTAGTATAAAATTTATTTGTATGTAACGGTCGTTTCTGAGGTAAACTCAATCGTTGTGGTTGACGTGGATGAGCAATATATGGATAAAATGATGAACTAGGTGTTGTTGTTGATATAGGTACAAGTACATCAATACTTGTTATACTACTAATCGTTATTAGTAATGTTAGACTTCGAAGAAGAATCATAGTTGTGATGATAATTTAAGTTGAAACACGCAGAATGATAGAAACATCTATTTGATTAGATTTTTATAGTATATTGTTATTTGATGAGGATTAGATCAATATATATATTTGATATTGCCGCACGTAAAAATTCGTTAAGTCACCAAACAAATGAATATTTTTCTTTTTTATTTGGAAGGATATATTAAAAAGATTGAAAAGAAGAGAAATATGATACTAAAGATACCAGATAGTGATAATTTCATTCTTTTTTTTTTGGGAGTAATGCTCGAAGAGAAAGAAGAAATGCAGATATTTTTTTTTATCAGTTAAATTTTATTTTAATTTTGAATTAGACAAAGCTTTTTTTCATCTGTTGTTATCTTTGATTGGTTCTTAGAATAATAATTATAGCTCGATCGATATTTCAATATAAGAAATGAAAAATTCTATTTCTAGTAAAAAAATTTAATTGAGTCTTAGATATTTCGTCTCATATAACCAGGTAATTTAAGAAGATGACTTTGGACTAATAATAATAGAATAGTACATAGGCTTTAGATGCTCCTGTGCACACCTAAATAGAAAATTAAAATATCTTTCCTAGTATAGTAATAGTATGTAGGTTCAAAAAGTAAAAGTATAGGATTAAAGCCCGTAAAGATATCTCATTATCGGTTATGGCATTGAAATCTTACCTAGTAACTGTAATCGAAGTAGCTTCTTCAACAGAATTCAACATTTTTGCTAGCAACTGTCGTTAAATATCTTGAGAAAAAAGATAAGAAAATGGAAAAGAAAGCTAATTCTTGGACTACAATTGAACTGTAAAGTATCATTTTAAAAATTTCCAGTATCACATTTCTAAGGGTAAGACAGATGTTGTTGTCGAACACATGTTCTCATGATTTTTGCTTGCATGATATTAAGCAATCTGACGGTAGACATAAGAACGGTTTCTACGTCGAATTTCATCATACTTCTGATTGTCACGAGGCTTAACAACGTGCCGTTATAGAGAACGTTAAGTTATCGTCAATAAATTAATATATAAAGAAACACTTTGATTCAATCGGAACTTCACGATTGTGTTATAATGTTGAAAACAGATTTGATCAGTTGTATTGATATCTTTTATAATAGATATCGATTATCATATCTAATGAAATGTCAATAAATAACATAAGTGATAGGCTGCCTGTAAAAACTGCGGACACCATCAAAGCTGCAAAAAAAAGTATAGAGTTCGAAACGAATTTCATACAGACACTTATTTTTAGGCTGCGGTTTTTGTTTTCCACTGAAATATAGCCTTTTTTGTGGACACGAGTATCCACGAACATCTATGTTTGCTTTAGTTTTTAGTTATGCAAGATGTTTGACAAATGAATATCAAGGTAATTATCGTTATCTTTTACAATCAATACCGAGGTAACCATGGATGTTCGTGGATATTCATGTCCACAAAAAAGGCTATATTCCAGTGGAAAAGAAAAAGCACCGCCTAGAATGGGTGTCCGTATGGTATTTGTTTCGAACTCTATGTTTTTTGTAACTTTGGCGATGTTCGTGGGTGTCTGTAATTTTTACGAATACTCCCAGTCGTCTGGATGGAAGTTTCGTAGTTAATTCGTAGAAAGATCACAAGCTATATTAGTTAGCAGCAGAAAATCAGGTAGTGCATGATTCTAGGAAAATGGTGATGAACGAGAAAACTCCAGGTCTCTAATAATTCTAGGTGCCACTAAATGAGAAAAATTTCCATCAAATATCGTTAGAGATTATATGGCTTTCTAAAGATTTTAGATTACCAAGTATGTTCTAGTTTATCCTTCTTGTATGCAAAACTTTAGTTATCCTGAATTGTATATATCGCTTGCTTAATAATTTATGTATAATTTGCTATCAAGAGAGTTTTTCCAAGTAATAAACTACTAAAACACATCTTTTTTCTAAAAATGTTTGATATATACGTATATGTGTGCTCCACTATAACCAAACAGTGAACTTTTCCTTACAAATCTTAGGATTTTACATTTAGGTAATTTGCACATTAAGATGAATATTGAATGAAAATTAAAAAATGATGTCTAATTTTCACCTTTATTATTCTTTTTCTGCAAGAATTCAAAAGCTGGAAACAAACTATTGATGATAATCTACTTCAGGCTTTTGAAGAGTAATTAATCTATGGGCAGATTTATATAATCCATAGTTAATAATTGTATCAAGTATATGAAAAACAAATTGTTGTCTTGTTTTTGCTAAACAACATAATAATGGAACAAAGACTTTTTATTGTGCTAATTTGCAATTTTCGATAGTCGAAAACTTCATTTTCCAGTAGCTTTCAAGTAAGGGAGGTTGAATAAGCGCAGATAATCGCTATGGAGTGCTAGCTAAATGTGCACAAAATATTAAGTTATTAGCTGCAATCATTAAAAGAATTGTCTCTGGTCCCCTTTTCTGTCCGCTATGGGAAGGTGGCGGGTCCAAATTTCTACCGCTGTACACTTCAACACTCCTCTTAGATCGTGTTTCACAAAAGTGAAGGAGCTCGCCTCTTAGTTAAGAGTAACAAACTTCTTTTCAATAACATTGATTTTTGTGATGCCAATAAGTTTAAAAAATTATAGCCCAATTGATTTTTAATTGCTCATGGTTCCCCACTCCTCAAAATAATTTAGCCGAGGAACGGTACATGACCTAGAGATTTCTGGCTACGCCACTACCTGTGACATCCACATGTATGCAGTTTTGTGAAGAACCAAATACTGCATCGCTCAGAAAATATTCAGTCTAAATCTATGAAAAATAGAGAAGATACTGCGAAAAGGCGAAGACTCTCATTCATTGTAGACCATCCTTCAGTCTTAAGAAAATCGAGTTTGAATTCGGGCTCCCTACCACTCCCCCTCCTTAAAAACCAATGTTTGACTATCACAAAACATCGAACAATAGCTTCTCCAACTGAGAAATGTGATCTTGATTTTCCATCAATCAGATCATAGGCAAATCGATCAAAATTATTCATACTTCAGGCTATCCTTTTGGAATTCAGAATGGCTTTATTCCATTGTTTAACAATGTGAAGCATAGAAATATGCTTTTGCTCATATCTATATAGAATAAATAGCTAAATATAGAGAAGATACTTGACACCAATGACACTGCATTTAAAGTCTAGTAGTTCAGTGAGTTGATGTAACAAACTGAAACCCACACTGAATACCCAAACCCAAACTGAAATCCAAACTCCCAAACAGTTTGGGTTTGGTGAATCTCTATCTGAACTTCAAGGAAACTTAGATGACCTGTAATTCTCTCTAGGTTCTTATTTTTTTTTATCAATTCAGAGAGATTCTTTTCATCTTGAACCTAAAACAAGAATCTTTTTTCTTTTCTGTTGAAAAGCACCTTGTCTGAACTTCAAGATTAAAAAGAATCTTCATTGATCAATCAAGAAAAACAAGAAACTGAAAAGAACATTAACTCATGAGAACAGAAATGTTGATCTGAGATGCTCTCCCTTTTCATTGAATATTACAATTATTGGTATTAAATATTGTCGTCTATGATAGTCTAAAAGTGTAGTTTGTGTTGTAAATCGAGCACATTTTATTGGTTCAACCAAACGAAAATCAAACATTACAATAAATTTCTTCAACAAATTTCTTTTGCTAGTTGAATAAAGTATTGATTGAATACTCGAATAGATATGACTGATTGACTTCATATAAATCAATCAAGTTATTTATTAATATGAAGATTCAAATCATAGTTAATGTCTTGTTTACTTATCATTTTACTCTTGCTCTCTTTTTTATTAATCATAATCAATAATAGAGAGTAAGCAAAAAGTTAAAGAAGTATAATCTAGATAAGACGAAAAATATTTTATTAAATCATTTACATTAATTAATCATGAATTGTTATTTTGAAAGTATTCTCAAAATTTCCGAGATTACTATACGAAACATAATATTAAATACTTGCATAATATTGTAGCAATTCTCTATTTCCTTTCAACACCATTTAGATTTTATTTATTTATCAACAATATTTCAAAACATATAAACTTATTCTCTAGAGAAAAAGATATTAATAAAAATCATACAATTGTATGAACTCATGAGGAAAGAAAGAATTCTAATTGAAGAGTGCCTAAGATTTGATGATTAGATAATATAAGTCTCGTCGATGACGCACAGATCACTTACAATATCCGCATATATTTTTCTGATATCACATTTGTCACTCTGTTATTACTTTATACTATGGAGTAATAACCAGTGGGCTCACGAAGGACCAAAAACATTGAGAGATATAAAATGATACTAGCGACAAAATCTTGCACAAGGAAATATAGAATGTAGACAACATTTACATTGAAAACATTTGATTATTGGAAGGAGGAGAAAGTTTTCATTCCTTCACTTCTATCTGTTCGCGTATCCTACTGATTATAATTAATATTCTATATTACTATCTATAGTTCATATTAACAATATGGTAACCATTATGTTAGTTAGATTGCACACCAATATTGAAAGAATGAAACAAATTAATCATAAATGAACGAACTATTAACACCTACAATTTAAGTAAAAAAAAAACTCTTCAATCTGGTGTTTCGTGCTTCCATATTAGAGACCAATGAAGCTGGAATTAAGAGAAGAAAAAAAGTTTTTTGTTAGTAATATAATTGAGCATCACACTATGCTCCAAAAGTTAATCTATCTTTTAACAAATGGTTAAAAACCTTTTTGGAAATATTCAGTAACATTCTATTCGAGTCTAATATTCAATGGTAGAACTCGAAATTTTGTTTCATAAACGCAATGCATATTTCAATCTAGTCTTACTGGCATTATCATTCTTATTTAGATTGTGATATAAAATTTATATTTTGTATTTTGATATTTTAATAGAGTGTAATGTAATATTCGCAATTTATTTTTATTTAGCCGTAAGAAATAATATCTAATCTATTGGTGATAGGTTTTTATTTGAAAAACAAA